GCAATTTTTTACCAGTCGGGCTTTGGTAATTACAAAATTGGTCATAACCACATTGAAAGTATTCTGATCGCTGTTGGACCTTATGTAGTTAATTATGTCAACCTCACCTGTGAAGAAAATATTTCACTTGTTATGAATTCTATATGAACACATAGAAAGATATATGAATTTATATATACTAAAATACAATGTAGTAAACAGCTTACGTAAACTTATACAAACCTTCAGATGTGTCAGAACCGACAGTGTTTTGATGATGGCTGAAACAGTACCCTTCTTTGTTAAATACTCTTACTTTAAAGTATTGATTTCCGGTGTAAATCAATATAACATTTACACATTCATAGTTGTTAAAATAAAAGTCATGGAATTCTTCCCACATAGGGCCTTCAAAACCTGCTAGATCATCTTCTTGGGTATATATCTGAAACTTCCACTGCTTCTGATTATCATCAATTACCAATGAAAGCTTTTGTTCTGAAGGCCAATTTATGGCTCTAAAGTACTGTGTGTTAATAACCTAAGGTTAGGAGGAAGATAGAACAGATGTGAAATAATTCTATATATTAAAAGATTAAAAGGCAAATACTATATATGAAATTCTGTTTACAAAAACTTACACATCGATTGGCAACGTTTGGATTCAATTCCAAAAGGTAACGACTGCCAATATTTGCAGTTGGATTTGATGTGAGCCGCTGTCTTCCATCATTTAAAGAATAAAATAATTGAAGAACTTTTCTTGTTGATGGTAAACAACGTGAATTTTTGTGTGAGGAGATACACCAATGGATGTAAAGAATTCTTCTAGAGAATTCTCCCACAACCATCTTCTTTTTTTAGTAATATGTAAATTTGCAAACACAGTTTGATTTCTAGGAAATTCAACCATTATTTGCTGACCGACATGCTTCATATTTGCAGTAAGATTACTGCTAAGTATCTGGTAAAAAAAAAATTAGAAACAGGATGACATATTATATATTAGTCAGGTAGAAATTTGTATTATATACTTACCAATCCCTTTCTCCATATGTCTGTTGGGACAGTAATAAGTTGATCGTACCCGAAATCCATGGCAACTTGTGTTCTGCCTGTTCTTAGAATGAAAATCAATGTAAAAAGAAGGGGAAAGAACTTGGTAACGATCTAGATACGTTATGTGTGAATATAAATAGTCTGGATATGTTGTACACCTATTTAAGGTACCTTAAAATTAGGAACTGAGGAGTCAGTTAGGAGGAATTCTATTCCAAATAAAACTCCTATTTCAGTCATTGATAATGACAACTATTCAGTTTAAACTTAGATGATATTTGATTAAGATTCTGAGAATCATACTTTTCTATACTCTGTCACTTGGACTCCTTTGCATGGGAGACAACTTTCTGCAGAATTTTGCAAGTAGTCACTCTTTAGCCATACCTCAGGTGCCAAATTCTTCGGGGTTAACAAAATACTCTAATTTTGTTTCAATTCCGCCAAACGTTTTGCTCAATACTAATACAACAGCCAAAAGATGACCACTCTAAAAGTTTGATTGCGAATTAACATCGACGGGAAAGTTCAATGGAGATGTTAGTCTTTAGTTTGCAAACAAGCTTTTTTTTTTTTTTTGGAAATTGAATGATAGCTTAGTGGTTAGGTTGTTATCTTTTCTGATAATAGACCAGTTCAATTCCCACCAAAGGGTTTGTAAAGGGGTTTTATACCCATATTTAAGTGGGGTCTACTGGGATGAATTTTTTTTTTTATTTAAAGAAAACTTTTTTTTTTTTGGTGAACAGAAGATAGAGAGACTAACGTCTACAAGTTACATTGTAGTATTGTTCCTACTATCATGCTCTAACATATTATAATGTTATTCATGGGAACATTAAAAGAGTATAACCCCATATCTAATTAAGTGCTGCCTTAACAAGAGCAACGGCGCACGCATTGTTAGTCTTTAGTTTGCAAAGAAGCTTGAACAATGATGATCTCTCCCTTAAGGTTCACTTTTTGTTCCATTAAAAATTTGCAACAAGTTTGAATAATGATAATTCATTTTGGAGTGCTCACTAACTCATCTATCTAGAGGGGCTATAAATCACAACTAAAGCAAACAATATCGAAGAACAAATATTACAGCATATTATTTGATAGTACGATTGAGGACGAGTCTTTGGAGAACTAAATGATGTGAAAACTTTATGGGTAGCAATTTCTATTATCTTTTGTGTATAGGCTTTCTAAATCTCAAAAAAAAAAAAACCCCCTAAATCAATGTAGTAATACGTGGTTGTATAAGAGCATACACCTTTTTGTTGACGAAAGCAAGCACTATAATCACACACTAGATGCTTAGCCCGGGCGGATGCCCGGACGATCTCTTTGAATAAATGTAATACTATATAAGTCAAATAATAAAATCTGATTAAGTGGGGTAAAAAACAATTGTTGAAACAATGAGGACATAAAGTGTAAATTTTTGTGGTGCACAATCATTATCATTGTACAATTTCTCCCAGTTTCCTGTTAGCTTCAATTGGGATACCCTCTTTGATATGTATACTGGATCATATGACTTCTAAAACTGCATAGAACTTGCTCCTACATGCGTATATATAACAGCTATTCTCTTATACAATAGATTTCTGTGTCGCTTCCAAAAATGCCTTGGAACATTCTCTAATATGAGTTTTAAATCATGAAAGCATAACCTAAGAAACATAGATGTTAGACAAAAAAAAAAAAGACTTTGAACGTGTGAACAACCATCCTAGCGAATGCCCAGGGTCGCTTGTGTTGTAAATCTATTAGATAAAAAACCAAATCAGCAAGAAAAAATAATGCATTTTATTATAACAGTCGAATCAGAACACATAATAATAGTATGGAATCGGAACACAGTACGTTGCCCGTTCAACACAATCTAAGTATAAATGTATAGAGTTTAGAATTTCGGGGAGTATCTCAATTAGAATTATGTATTAAAAATTTTTATCTATGTCTCAAAATTACAAATAAATCAATTATCTATGTCTCTATGAAACAGCAATGCATTTGCTGCCAAAAAAGAAAAAAAAGAAAAACTACGCAAGTACCTCCATCCCTCTCTCCCTCCATCTCTCCCTCCCTCTCTTCACATTCTAATTTTCAGCACTTCATATTTTGCACAAAGGACCTGCAATAGATCATATATATCTACACACTGCATCAAATACTTAGCAAAGCACTCTACGACCCACCTGTCGACGGTTGATCCGCTGAACCGCAATTCAGCAAGCTCCTTTTGTAGTCCATCCCAACCCCGAGTTCCAGCCTGCAATATAATGACAAATACTATATAATTAAGACCTTGGTCGATCAGTAATTATATAATTGATTCAATATAGTTTATTCAATTAACTGAGAGTGATTTTCGGATGACATGATAGGCACAAATAGTTTAATTTTTATTAGCACGTACCCTTAATCGGAATTAGTAGAATTCTATCAGTAGCCTCCTGACCGATAGTAATTTAATTTTATCCAGGGAATAGTCAACTTGAGTAAAAATTTACTGTTACAAATGACATAATAGAGGTAGATAAGATCACAACTCATTTACTGTTACGAATATGTTTTGCTTGCACTTGATGAGAATATAGAGGTAAAAGAAAATTAATTAGAACCTCAAGATGCACACCTTGACAAAATCATCATTTTCCTCCAAGTGTATACAATTAGAAGTACTTGCTGCAAAATTAGAAGTCATAACAGTATCCTAATATATAATATGAAAGCACTTACATCTAGCTAGTCTGAGTCAATCCAATAGCATTCATCATCTTGTGCAAGCGACTTCATTTAGCAAATGAGGTATAAGAATTTGTGAAAAAATCAACGTAGGAATCAGATGGAACAAAGAGACTATGACAACCCCATGGAAGAAATAATTAATAAGAAAACATGTGCAACAATCCTATAAATCACATGACTATATAAATCACATAAACAATTCAATTAGTTTCATCTTTCTGCCACCTATCTGAATCAATAAGAAAACCCAAAAAAGCACCTGCCAAAAAAAACTGCAGTGTTTCAAGTGTAAGAACAAAAACTACATATATAGATTTCTCTATTAAAAAACCCGTAAAAGTGGTATAAGAAGCACACCTTTGAAATCTTTTGATTGAATATATAGATCTAAACGTATAAGATTTTCAGTAAGAAACAGAATACTACAAAAAGATCATTATAAATCCAAGAAAATAAAGCTGAGAATTTGAGAGATTCAAGATAAGTGAGGCGCCTGAATTTCGGGTCTCACTATCACTGTCGAAAATGTTGCCCGTCAGATTATTCCCTTTCTTCAACTGAAAATGAAAAATTATCTTTTTTCCATCGGCCAAAATTCTGAATAGGCCATCATTTTTGTCATTCCCTAGCCCAACAGACGTAAAATAATTGATCAATCAACAATGTAAAACAATTGAATTTTTACAATGTAGAGGCGGGTGTAAATAAGAACCAGCAGCATCATCAACTGTGATTTTATAGAAAAATCAATTCAGTCTATACCTATCATCCTATTCACTGTCAATTTAGCCCTAACCAAAATACAGAGATATCCACCAGTGAAAATCAATCAAGATAATTCACATTGCTCGAATAACATGCAGCACAAATATACCTATGAATAAAGCTAATCCGACACTCTTGCAACCCACGTATCGCGAAGAGCAATTGACTGAGGCACTTACCGATTCCCAAAATCCTTGCCCTCTGAAATCAATCAAATGGGAGAGATAATATGAGAGGCCAAGCAGAAGGTGGATTTATTTTATGGCGATTGGCAGCTTCAACTGATGGATGAAGATGAAGGATTTTTCTGAATTGAAATAGATTGGTATAGAGATTTTGAGGGGCTTGATCTCCAGATTAACATTAAATTAGGAAGCAAATCTGAGCATGAAATAGGAGGATATATGCAAAAACCTAGATCCTTTTACGGTCACTATTCGCCCCTAAATTTTTTAACCTTCCTCTTCACTATATCCTTTGAGAGCAAAACAATCGCCAAAGCTAATTATTATAGGTTCTTCCCTGCAAAATACAGAACAAATAAAAAAAAATATCAACAACAAAAAATATGCAAAGAAACAGAGATCTTTGATGGAGATCTTACTATAATGCCCGAGTCAATCCGAATTGGACTGTTCCTCTTCCTCCTCTTCGATGTCTTCATTGGAGAATATCAGTAGTGGGAACTGGGATCGAGAGCTTGAGGTTATCAAAGCAGCCGACTCCAGATCTGACACTGTCGTTTGCCTCCTATAACGGGCTTTCTATGCCAACCAGATATGAGAAAAGTGGCCGGGAAGAAACTCGTGTCGGCACTGGTGGCGCTGGCATGTCGAGTGGCCGATCAGATCGTGAAAAAAAGAGAGAAAATTATATAGAATGTTGACTGAAGTTAGGAAGGTCCAAAGGGAGAGTTTTGAATTTTGATTTTATTAATTCAGTGGGATTTATTGTGATCGGGAAGTATTGTGCTGAGGAAGATATCCCGGATTTTTATCCCGGATCTTGAGCGAGTTTTAAATTAGCAATTCAGTATTATTACTCTATTTAGTGAGTTTAAAGGTATTTATAACTTTTTATTTTTTTTTTTAAAAAAACTATTTATCTATTTTCCTAGGATTAATTGAATGATATGAAAGCACTTACATCTAGCTAGTCTGAGTCAATCCATTAGCATTCATCATCTTGTGCAAGCCATTGGGAATAGTTGCAGATACAAAGAGAGGTAGAGGACGAAAAGGGGATTTTTTTGGAATAAATTTAAGTTGATTTTTTTAAATGCGTTGAAATTGGGGATGAGTTGATGCCTGACAGAGCTAAAAATTGGGGATTCCGTTATCTTTGTCTTTATCTTCTATTTGGGAATTTTTTACTACTTGTTTTCTTAAATATATTTATTTATTTATGATTCTTCAGTAACTGCAAAAATAGAGAAACGCGTTTACCTCCCTAATTTTGTGGAGCAAAAACAGTTTTTCTAAATTATCTTCTTTAAATTCAAATCACTTCCTTATCATCTTCTTTGTATTTTAACGGGCCATGATTAGTCTTTTTTTTTTATTTTTTTATGAGGAGTAATTGAAGATTGGTTTACTAAAGGCAAATTTTTCTAAAATTTTAGAGTGCCACGTGTCAGTTTTCATTTTGTACTAAAAAAGACTTTTGGCGGCAAAATTTTTAATGTGAAGCTGACATGTGTCCTTCTTGTATGTTGCTTTAATTAAGTACAACCTTTGTATGACCAGTCATACTCTTTTGCCAATCCAGATATCTTTGCAAAAACAACAACACCAGAAGCCTGTAAAATATTGCATTATAGGGTAAGAAATCAATACACATTATAAATTTGAAAATTTTACTTTGTATGGTTTGAAAGTATATATTAACATGTTACCTGTTCCAAATCATCAATCCCAGCCAGTGTCAACATCTCAGCATCACGCACAAATTCCTCGAAATTTGTTTATCCTGAAATGGAAGATAGGAGGGATATCTTTTGGATGCTTGCAGACCTAATATCTGCCTGATCAACCCTGTGAAGGTGAGTTCATTACTTGCCACTGCATGGATGGTTTTATTTAACTATTTGTATAAACTGTGACACTAATTTTCTTTTACCTGAATTTGTATTCGTATATATTTGGAATGGTCATGTCATTTAGGAAGATCCTACCATTGAACAGATTTGTTGTGATTGAAACTTTAGTTGGATCAGATTAGAGTATACGTGTGTCACTAAAACCGCTAAAATTTCTTGTCAACAAACAAAGATATATGCTTTAAAACCCAATATACTTACAGTAGTATTTTTTGCATTTGACATACTGAACAATCAGGACAACAGGGTAATCAGGATTATTAGTCATCATGTTATAAACCTTGTCTGCGTGCTCATCCCATAATGTGACCTTTAACCTATCGGCCCTGCAATTAATGTAAATTTAGTCAAAATAACTTATGCATACTGAATTGATTAAGAATATATATACAAAATTAGTAAAAAATTTATATACATTGGTAAAATCACTTACCTTTCATCTTCCAATTCAACCGTAATCCTCTTCTTACCATTATCAATAATTGGATCACTGTAACCAATTATGTGTCCTAACAAATCTGAAATAAATGTATGAATATTAATCATACTTGGATGTTCGTTTAAATGATACATAAGGAAAATATTATAGTCAAATCTAAAAGATGTTGTCCTTACCAAAACAGAAGTCAAAATTTGCAACGAAATTGGTAATTTCTGCAAAAGGGGTAAATTCAAATACATGATTAGGGATGTCATGGTAACCAACAGATTGAACCAATGTGTCAGGTCGGAATACAATTTTGTATTTGTGTTTTGAGCAACGGTATCCCCCACTTATATTCAGATAATGATCAAAACATGAGATCCTCCTGGCACAACCCTCTTGAAGGAAATACTTCTGGAAATCTTTCATTATCCTCGCAGGTATAGTCGCCTGAATCTTGGATCCCTATATTTCAAAAAGTTTGGACAAATAAGCATATAAGAATTGCATCTTCTTAATGTGTAAAACATTGTTTAATGTTGAAAACTGTATTAAATAATATAATACCTGAGCATCAATCAATGCCAACTCAATCGATTTGACATTCTTGATTTTATTCTCTATCATTTTCCAGATGGTCATAACACGAACAACTATGTGGAAATGGATAGTTTTGGTTGGTACCAAGCCATTGATGTCAGCAATGTACCTTTGTGCAGCAACTGTTGGAACTGTCTGATCAACATTATGGGGGGTTTGATTTCCAACAATTGGGTTTTTAGCATGGTGTTGGTTTTCAGAATAAAAAACAGGTGTATCTATTTGAACTGCATTAGCAACATTCTGGGTTTCAGATCCAACAATTAGAATTTCAGGATAGTTTTGATTATGAGAATCAACAACAGGGGTTTTTGATGAAGCTATGGGAGTTGCAGAAACAGTGGGAGATTGGAAATTTGAATGGGAAACAGACGCAACAATTGGAGCTTGAGAATAAATGGTCGCAGGTTTTGGTGAGTATCACATATCTCTGTCAAGGTATATATACAGAGCATGTGATATTCAATTCCATGAGATTCTGAAGGTAACCATATCTTTGAGATTCTGATGTTCACTAAAAAACTGCATAAGAGATATGCACCTATTGATTGTTAAGGAGATAAACATGGATCAATCAATCAATCAATCACTGATGGTAAGGATATGGACTTGTTATGAATTGTTATTTAATTTAATTTGATTGTGTAATTTTTAAAATTCAAAACTGTTATTTGGAATGTTTATCTGATGTTTACCGTATATTTGCAGCAACAATATATGGAAAAAAGACAATGAAGCCAGATTTCAGGGAATGAAATAGATGACGATGAAGTTAGATTTGAGGGAATGAAACAGATATCTGGAATTCATGATATAATTGGGTGAAAATCATTTACAATGTTTACCATTGCATTTTTGTAATGTAATAAACAGAATTGTTAATATTAATTTGTTTATTTACTGTTTATTATCAAGCTTACATTTATTGATATACATATACTGTAATTATGAGATCGATTCGTAAGGCCAAAATTTTAGGCAGATAATTGTGGTAGGTTTTTTTCTTTCTTTTATTTTCTTAAATAAATCCCTTAACAAATTTCGTAAACCATCATTTTTCTGCTCATCTGATGTACCACGTGGCATTTTTCATTTTGTACTGAAAAGTAGCTTTGGTGGGAAAATTTTTAATGTGAGGCTGACACGTGTCCTTGTTGTATGTTGCTTTAATCAAGTACAATGGATAAGATCCATTATAACTCAAATTCAAGTTAGTGGATCTGAATATATATTCCATATTAACTGATTCATATTTATTCACATGTCACACACGTGGATATTTTGGAGTTAATTGAAACTTTAGAATTGAGTTGTGATAAGTCATATAAAGAGAATATTTATAAATAGCAAATTCTCACTTGCAACCTGTATGATTTTGATAGTTTTGCATAAATAGAATTTTCGTGCCCAATTTCTTGCTCCATTCTTTCTCTTCCTTCTCAATTTGAACCCTAAATCCCTGATTCTGATCTCTACAGCTGACATCACCTTACAATATGACCCCCAACCTTCACATCGAACATTCAAATTAGTCAACATGCCCAAATCTGTACTGTACCTAAGTAACTGAGCCATCAATCCCTACGTAACATCATTGTTTTTTTAGAAAGAAACATGATTTCATTCATATTACTGGAAAAGGTCCACCGGTGATTGATTTACAAAATTTGGTTGATCATTCCAAATCGTTTCAATGACATTAAAAAATTTGGCAAATTTAGCAAAAGCATGAGTTATCATGTTTTCATCACGTCGAATCCATGATAACTTGCGAATTGGAAGGTCTTGACATAGATAAATCACATCATCCAGGATAGGTGAGCAAGATGATGGACCATCTGAATCTTTGTTAGCAGCTAGAATGATGAGTGCAGAATCCCCTTGTACAACCACTGTTAAATGAATGAAAGAAAGAAAATGGCCTCATGTTTCCTTGTCCCACATGGATGGAAGGAAACTCTTGAACCCAACATATATACCCCATGTGTGACTTCCCTTATCACTAATTGGTTTTAAGGTGGAACCACATGTAGGCTTATATTTGGGCCTTCAAGAACCACATATGAGTGACCAAATTTCCTGCATAGTAACAAAGCCTGGCGAAGAGCAAGAACTTCTGCAAGATCAGAATCAAGTACATCAGGAAATTGACGTGCTAAGCCATGCAGGAATTTTCCATCTGGGGCCTGAATGAGAACACCAGCTCCAGCATAGTTGTTAGATGTAGATACTGATCCATCAAAGAAGACCTTAATAGCATTTACAAACAGCTGAAAAAGATGATTCAAACTTGTCGATCGAGGGTCATTCCTTTCTGGATTTGTACATGTAGCAGCAAAGTCTCTGATAGTTCTGGAGAGACGAATATTCAGATTAACCGAAATAATTTGGGCTAAATCACCCACCAAAATACCTAATCTGGGCTTTGATATTGCTGTTAGGGACTTACCTGAGGAAAAACAATCCCGCATGAAGTCCAATACTCCAATAAAAAAGATAAGACCCATCCAGACTCAAAAGTTTAAACTAATAGGTCATCTGTACATCTTATTTGTTAATTGATTCACATGTTTTATCTTCCTACGTGAGATTCACAACCCTTATTATATGACCCTAACATTTTCCTCTGTCATGGACAATCTCCATATAGGCCACCCAAATTTGTACTCGACCAGAGAAATTAGGCCGCTTATTTCTACGTGGCAACTTGAGTGTACCTTTGACCCGAGAGACAAAAAGTCAGATCAACCGAAATAATTTTAGTTAAATCACCCATTCAACAATAATACCAGGGCCTTGGTTGGGCACTAACATGTAAAAGGTGAACTACAAAAGTATTGTACCCGCTTTGCGGGTGCTCAGATTAATAAAAAATTAACAAATTGTTTGAAGTATTAAAAATATAAGAGAGATGCAATGATATAGATGAAAAGTTTAAACATAATATAGAAGTGATACAAATATCATGAAAACAAAATTTCGTAACAAATAAATATGACGTTTAAAAAACACCGATCATAGCTAGTTTAGTACCTTTAGAACTAAAGAAAATTGATGTGACATAACACCAGATATTTCTCTCAAATTAGCAAACTCAAATATCAGTTTAGAAAGTAAGAGAATATATATATATATATATATATATATTCATATTCCATCATGCGAAACAAACAACGGGAAAAGAGAAGAAAATACATGATTTGCTTTTAATGGTAAATTTAAAGTAAGAGAATAAACTCAAATAAAAGTACAACAGTCAATTTGTATATGAAAGGGGGGAGAGATCGAATGAGTAAAAAAGAGAAAATGAAGAAATAAAAAGAGAGAAATTGAGGAACTTCAAATGAAGATGAAAGACTCATATCACTATATATATCACATGATTAATGATGACAATCATTTTACAAATTCATAGATTTCAAGTAAACTGCATTATGATAAGACTATTGATGGCATTTCTAGAGAGTAAGATAAAATTTGAATGAGGAAGAAAGAAAAATGGTTAGACATTAGTATTATCTTGATGATTGACCATTAAGGTAGAACACGAAAATGAGGATTATTTTTTTTTCAAAGACACATATATGGAAAATGATATAGATAGTGAAAATGTAATGTAAAATCGAATAGTGATTGATGTGACATGTATAAATACATAATTACCCCCTATTTTGTTGGTAGTTATTGAGAGAGTGGTCTGACTTTTTTTTGTCTTTTCATTATTCACTATTCCATTTCACTATAGAAACTCAAACTAAAATTCTCTAATAATTATTTGATTTTATGTTTGATAACAAAAGATTAGATATTTGTTTTTAAAAGGTTACAAATATGATTTTTCAGTTTCTTCGATTTCTTAGTGATGAAAAATTTTAAATATATATTCAAAAAAGTAAAATGATTATTACTTATTTATTTGAAGGTTTTGTTTTAATCTTAAGTAAATGTAAGGAAAAAAAGAAAAAGAAATACATGTGAATGAGACGATTAAAAGACTTAAATAAATTGATGATCCAAGGATTAGTAAAAAATTGAGAACATCAAGAGATTAAAATTAATAATCAAAATGACTGCGTGAGAACATGAAAAGGTTAGAGAAAAAATATCTTTCGTAATTTGTACTAATATTTTTAATTTATAAAGCGTGGGTTACCCATCCCTGTTCGGGTTGCCGGCGTTACAAATTTATTTTTGGTCTTTTTGACTTACGTTTCCAGTTCCTTATTCTGTTCGGATTAGGAGATATTATTCCTCTTTTCTGGATATTATTATTATCCCTATATATATATATATATTTACTTATAAATACAGGAGGGAAGTAGTACAGTATTTCTCTAGCGTGAAATTGTTACGTTTGGGAATCTTTAGACTCGTGAACCCTAAATCCCCAAATTTATTTAATCGCGGTTAGTCGTTAACCGATACCACCGCCGGCGCAACCACCTCGAATTAAAGCAACATAAACCATCGGAAAAAAGGATAAGGTAAAACAATGTTCAGTGTCCAGCCAATACTGTCGCTACCACCTCCGCCGTCTGATGAAAATATGGCTGCTCCTCCGGTCTCACCAGTTCCGACCACGGCGGCGGTTGCAACGCATACCAGAACTATTGGCATAATTCATCCGCCAAAAGATATCCGAGATATCGTTTATAAAACTTCACAATTTGTGGCGAAAAAAGGCCCCGAAATCGAGAAGAGGATCATCGCTGACTATTCCGGTAGTACAAAACTTAATTTCCTGAAACCCTCCGATCCTTACCATGCTTATTATCAGCATCTCTTGGCCGAAGCTCGGGCTGATCCTGATAAGCAGCCATCTGAATCCACAGATTCAGCCGCATCTCCTCCGGCCCCGGTGGCGGCTCCTTGCACCCCTGTTTATAAGGTTCTTGAACCGCCGGAGGCAGAGCAATATACTGTTTTCCTTCCCGAGGGTAGTGACGGAGAGGAATTGGACATAATTAAACTTGCTGCTCAGTTTGTAGCCAGGAATGGAATATCCTTTTTGACAGGCCTGGCTAATAGGGAACTCACAAATCCTCAATTTCAGTTTCTGAGAACAACTAATAGCAAGTTTGTGTTTTTCACATCTCTTTCGGATGCTTATTCGAAAATATTGCAGCCTCCGAAGGGTTTGATTGATAAGCTCAGGAACAGTGTGGTTGACAGGACTACAGTGCTGGAACACTGTCTTCGCCGGTTGGAATGGGATCGTTCGCAGGAGCTGGCGAGGCAGAGAGCCGAAGAGGAAACGGAGCTGGAACGGATGCAGATGGCCGCGATCGATTGGCATGACTTTGTTATGGTGGATATTATAGACTTTGCAGATGATGAGGATGAAGATTTACCCCATCCAATGACCCACGAGGAGGTTATTCGAATGAGCAAGGTGTCAAGTAGTGGAGGAAAAGAAGAAGATTTTGTTGATCCTGGGAAGGAAGTAGCAATGGAAATGGATGAAGAGGAGATGGAGCTTGTGAAGGAGGGAATCAGGGCTGCTGAAGAGAATGAATTGCCAATGAGAATTGTGAAAAATTGGAAGAGGCCTGAGGATAGATTACCTAATCAAAGAGATCCAAGTCCAACTACTGTTGTTATATCTCCAATAACTGGCGAACGGATTCCCATCAATGAGATGTCTGAACATATCAGGATTTCCCTAATTGATCCAAAATACAAGGAGCAGAAGGAAAGGATGTTTGCGAAGATCAGAGATACAACTCTCGCACCAGACGACGAGATCACTAAGAACATTGTTGGACTTGCGCGAACAAGGCCTGATATTTTCGGTACCACTGAAGAGGAAGTTTCAAGTGCTGTCAAAGCCGAGATTGAAAAGAAAAAAGATGTTATATGGGATGGTCACGCAGGCAGCATTGCCCCAACAAGGAATCAGGCACATTCGCACACTTCCGGAAAAGACCCGATTGAAGCTAACATGGAAACGAGAAATCTTCCAGGTCCTGTAGCCGGTATTCCATCTATTCAATCGCTTCCTCCACCACCTACTTTTCGGCCTCTGCTTCCTCTGATTAACATGCCCCTGAATCCACCGGCACCAGGACCTTTTGTTCACATGCCAATCTTTCAGCCTGGCATCCATATGCCTCCCCTACTGCCTTCACCTGACGATGCTCCTCCGCCTCCTCCTGAAGAGCCAGCGCCAAAACGGCAAAAACTGGATGATTCTGCTCTCATCCTTGAAGATCAATTTTTGGCTCAGTATCCAGGACCTGCTCGTATCAACGTCTCTGTCCCTAATCTTGATGGACGCAGAATTAAGGGTAATGTACTGGAGATCACGATGCAGTCCCTCTCTGAAACCATTAGTAGCCTGAAAGAACAAATTGCTGGAGAGATTCAACTTCCTGCTAACAAACAGAAGCTGAGCGGAAAGGCTGGCTTTCTGAAAGACAATGTGTCACTTGCATACTATAATGTTGCGCCTGGGGATACACTGGCACTCTCTCTTAGAGAACGCGGCGGAAGAAAGAGATGAGCTGCTTTCGGTCGCCATGGCTTCAAAACATTCTCCTTCGCCAAGTTGTCTCGAGTTAATTTTTTTATTTTTAATTTTTTTTTTCCTTTTTATGCCACATTTGTTTTTGGTATTCTGACAAATTTGTTCAAGTGCTTTTCTGGGACGATGCATTCTCCACGTATGAAGTGCTGCTATCAGGAGATGTTTATGTTATGTCTGGTTTATCCAAAGGTATTTACGCGGTCAAATTTCGTAGTGGCTTTCTTTTTGATTGAAAGAAAAGTTTCTGTGAGTCGAACATCATCACCTCCCGGTCCCGGTGGTCAAGGGGCTCGCAGCATAAGAGAGGCGAAGACGATCTCCTATCAGAGAGGTGGTGCCCAGTTACAAGATTATTGTCATGATATGTATGTACTATTCCCTCCCGTCTTTATCATAAGGCATTTAATTTAATTCGTCCTAAATTTTATTTAGTTCGTTTTTCTAACTGAAAATAAAACCTTAAAAATGTAGTTTCACATTTATACTGTTTTCTCAGTTATTATGAAATATTTTAACAAATTTTATTTTCAATTGAAAGAGCATATTAAATGTAACTAAGGATAATCGAAATGCCTTTATCATCGACACGGCATGGATCGGCCAATGTATTAACCTGATGTTTTCTTCTTGTTTTTGATACGTGCGCTGAAATTATAACTTAGTTAGCTATGTTCAGCAGAAAGGCCGTAGTGCTCTATGATTTTTGAGCCTAGATGCCTTTTAGCTACAGGTGATAGTAATCCATGTTGGTATGCTTTCAGTGGTTTGATTTCTCTCTCTCTCTCTCTCTCTCTCTCTCTCTCTCTCTCTCTCTCTCTCTCTCTTTTCACGATTTTCATCTAGGTTCTGGCTTCTGCGTTCCTGAAGATATATTAAACGTACAAATTTGTCACTCGGTAAGGCGCAGGACATTTGCTACATCAATTTCAGTGCCGAAAGACTCCTTTATTAATTCACTTATTCGTTGAGGGATATTTTCTTTTCTTTAAATAGTAAAAGTACTTTAAAAAATTAAGTTAAACTCGGGACCGGTTTTGATAGTAACCCTTAAACTTATCACTTCTAGACTAACATGCCAAACGATTCCATCCTAGCTATCCTCCAGAATGGCAATAATACCACAAATAGGACACCAACACCAACGAAATTGAATTTCTGTAGGTATTTCAGGATTCATGTCAATTTTTTTTTTAATTCTTATTTTACTTTGCACTGAAAAGTTCCTCTCATGTAAATCCATTTTCACCTATTGGAAGTAGTTGTCACTTAAGGCACGGGGCAGTTGTATAGAAGATGATTTCCCTCCAAAACCGAAACTCATTAAAAAAAATGAAAAAAATAAAAATAAAAATGGAATCCATTTATTCCTATTGAAATTAGTTGTTCTGGAAATTACCCTATCATTTATCTTTTGTAATTAATTTCGAAGATTTTATCCATCATCAAATTGCAAATTTCTCAAAATCAACTTTCTATTTATTTTCTCTACAGGAAAAAAAAAATCTACAAACACTGTATAAAAAAAAATAACTGATAAAACTTTAAATTTATTCCTTTTAGCCAATTAGCGAACTTGAAATAATAGTGTCTTTTCATTCGTATCGCAATCATTAACATCAACAATTGCCGGGATCAGCAACATCAACAATGTCGGAATCAAGTAAACGAAAATTAGAAAGCAATAATGACATGGGAAAATGTGAGAGAAGATGTTAATGAGTAATAACGGGTTTCGGAATGTGTAATATTTTTATTTTTATGTTTTTTTTTAGAAACTAAAATCTAATAGTGCTCAAGTCTGATAAGAAAGACTGTCAAGATTTAAATGGAAATTCTCCTTCTTTTTTTTTTCTAAAGCTCGAGCAGGTCGAACTCTAAACCATCTAATATTTCTTTCTTAATTCCAAGTATTACAGTCAATCGAAACATGTATTTCTAATTGCAGAATACTGTTTTGTTCTGGATTTAGCGATGGAAGATTTGGAAATAGGAGTCACTAGGGTGCTGGGTTATAGAGTTTTAATTTTAATGAATTGGTGTTATTGATTTGGTAATTGTTCTTTATAATTGTTGGATCTTAAACAAGTGTTCTAGCTAAAAATTCTGTTAAAGAATATTTTAAGAACCTAAGAAAGTTTAGTTTAATGATGAAGATTTAATGTGGTTAGATATAGAACTACACTTTTTATAAATATGTGTCTTTATAATTTTTTTTATACAGTACTTTATAAAAAAATTATTATCATTTCCATTTAAAAGTTGTCCGGGGTTGAGAATCTAGTTTATTTTAATTCAGTTATAAGATAAAGTTCACTGATGTGCCAAGTGTAAAACATAAATTTACACATACGGTTGGCAGTCGATTGAAATAAGGACAGATAGCATGAAGGTCATTCGTTGTCTAATGCAACGTGGTACAAGGGAATTGAGGGGGTGGACTTATGTTAGCCGCCTGTACGAGAGTATGTAGGATACTAAAGGTAGCTAGATCTATTCATTGTACAAGAGGCTCATGATCGAGCCGAGTATGTAATGTATGCATCTGTACCTTTGTCTTAAATAAAACTTATCTTTGCTTTTCAAAAAAAAAAAAAAAAAAAAAAAGAGAGATTGACAACTGAGAATACTACCATTTTCTTTTAATTAAATTTGTCATTTCATCATTAACTATCACAATTTACGATGTGTTCTTAACAATATTATATTTGACCAACTAATGCAATTTAGAACCACTAACATTCATCCAATTTAGAGTTTAAACAAATTGAGCTTCCAAGTGCTCTAAACTCAATATATATATGCCTCGGAAATCAAATTGGTTTCCTATTACAGTCACTCATCGAGTTCGAAACAACCAACATGAAAACTCTTTTCTCAATACTACTAATTCTATCATTTTGTCTTCTTCAAACTCAAAAAGGGGAGGAATTTACCGAGAAACATGTTGTGATCATCAAAAATGGGATATCCAAAACTGACATTCTCGATTTTCATTGTTACTCGAACACTAGAATTAAAGACATTGGCCATCACGTGCGCAAATTCAATGAAGATTTCACATATGAGTTTCCTGTCGTCGATTACACACTAATATGGTGCTACTTTTGGTGCGGTGAAAGAAATGCAACTTTCGAAATTTTCAACATGAATTGGCAGGATACCTATTGCGGAAATCCCTATACTAGGACGTGTTTCTGGTTGGCTAAGATTGATGGATTCTATGTCGGCAATAGGAAAGATGCAACACATGTAAATTTTGCTCATCCGTGGGATTTTTATTAATTTATACTAGTAGGCATTAGTTGCCATTGATCCTCCCCCGACTGTCAAGATATAGAGTAGTATTTATTTATATGGATGATGTTTTTCAACATCTAAGTTGATTAAACTTTTTCTTTTTTACTATTTTGATGTTCAATTAATACTTTTTATTCATCGTTGTTCACATTAGAAAGTGTTAACGATATAGACTTACCGTCCTAGCCGGAAGTTAAGTCCTTGAATATGCCGATTGATACGGTCGTTTGGGGAGACAAGGACAGACATACTTTCAATTACAAACAAGAATAAAATGTGCTTTGCATCAAGTTAGTCAAAGAGTAATCTGATTTTGTATTTCTCTTATCACAACCACACCATCAAAGACTTCTTCTTCTATAGCTGCATATGTCTATCATAAACAAACAACTTCATCGTGAGCAGTCCCACAATTGAGGGTGCTGCAGCCACTCTTATTAGAAACCCTAGAAATCTTGGTACTAGTATATTAATTTACATAATCTTGCACTATGTTTTGCTTAAAGTGAATAACAGGAAAGCACTGTTTGATAAAATCATTTAGCATTTAAACTTAATTGATGAACTATTTAATTGATTGATGCTATTTCATAACAATTTGATTAATTAAAAATGTAATTAATTAACTTAATATTTTTTAAATGCGTTTAATAACAAAAAGTAGAAATTTTGAATAAATTAAGTGGACCTGAAATGTGAATATAAATGTTAGTTTAAAAATAAGTGATAGGCCTATCACTTATAAATGAACTGAATTTCGGAGATAGTTTATTTTTTCTTCCTAGTTATTTCATTTGATGTTTATATTTTTGATGTTTTAATTTTATTCATTGAATTAATCTTGGCGTTTATTTGTAAGTTAATAATTATATAAATTATCTTTTATTATTAAACAAATTAATTCTGGTTTGTTCTGCTCAATTCGTGTTGCTCTGGTTTCACCGTGTTCTTCTTGGCCATAGCCATTGCTGAGCGCGTGTTAGTGTCAGTCGCTGAGAGATTCAAGAGGAAAAAGACGAGTTCCAAGATTCTCATTATCTTAACTATCTTATTTTTAAAATTCGCAAACCGAAAATATGATATTGTGTGGATTCTTGCCTTGTAGCTGCAACCCTGTTAGCAATAAATTCTTATAAAGGGGCTGATATATGAATATTTAAAAGAACTTGCATAAAATTTTTCATAGTTCCCGTAATGATATGCTCCCTCCATTTCAAAATGAAGGTCATTTTAGGTTTGGAGGAATATTTCAAAATATATGTCGTTTTAGGATTCCAAGACAAATTAATGATGAACTTCTGAACTTTGCCCTCAATAAATGATGTTGACTACTTTTCTTCTAGTCTTGGTTATAGTTCCAAAATAATTAATGATGGGTAAAATAGATATTTGACATATAAATGAATTGCTAAATAGTTGTCTATTAGTTTATGTGCAGTTTCTAAAGCGACTTACATTTTGAAATGGAGGGAGTATGAATATGTATCTTGGAGAAATTAATTGTTTTGGACTCAAGGGTAGAGTTTCATGGTATACAATATATTTTCATCATTTTCTTTCTGGATTATTTATTTCTTCATCCCTGGGAGTGTGGGAGTTAGCAGCGAGGATGCGTTGTAACAAATTTGGTATCATTAGCGTATTTATAGTCATTTTCTCGCAAGGTGAAGTTGTGAATGTTTGGAGTTTACAATGAGGTAATTAGTATAACAATTGTGTAATGTGATTTATTAAACGTTTCTTGATCATGTTTTTGTTGTTAAAAGAATAGTTTTATCAGACCTCATTTTTTCAGAACTAGGATTACTAGCAAGATCTTTGTAAGATTTTTCTAGTCTAGCTTGTATCAGAACTGTCATGAAAATATTAGAAAATCTTTATATGACATTTCTTCTATTAGGTAAGTCCCAAACTTAATTTTTTTTAATTTAAATTAATAAAATTAAGAGAATGCTCACCGGTACCATATTTAG